GACATGAGACTCTGAGACCTCGCCCTGGTGTGCCAAAGTTGATGGAGAGAGCAGCAAGCTCAGACTTGGAGTCAGCCAGCCAGTCATCTGGACCTGTCCTGAAGACAGCCCACTGAGCTGGGGTCCCCACACATATGCATATACTCTGCCTGTCGTAGTCTGGTCTCTCCAAATACTGTCAGAAAGGAACCCTCTTTGTCATTTGTCAGAGGAAAGTTAGCCCGCCCTCCCTTCCACCACCACCACCACCACCCCTCTGACTCCTTAGTTAAGTAAGATGACCAGACAACTTCCGACGATTCCTGAACAGACAGCTACAGGTCCGAGCCCGTGTGGTACAACTGAGGTCCAAGCTGGCAAAGAAGGACCTGCCTTGTCAGATGTCCCTTGGCCCGAACTTCAACCAAGAAACAGAGTGGGCCACGCACCCACCCACCCACCACAGAAGTCCTGTTCCCTAAAATAAACCAGAACCTCCGTGGAGTGTGTTTCCCAGTCTGCGTGATTTGTGAATAAAGAGAAAAGAGTAGACATAGAAAGGAGAAGGTAGGAGGGAAGAAAATGTGCTAAACATTGTCATTCATCACTCACACAAATAGCAACTCCCCAAAGAATTTTGCAGTCTTGTTCTCTCTTCTTTCCTTCCTTTCATTTTCCCTGCCTTTCCTTCTTTCCCTCCTTTCCTTTTCTTCCTCTTTCTTTCGTTCCTGTTCCTTCCTTTGCTTCCCTTTCCTTCCTTTCTTTTCTCTTTCTTTCCTTCCTTCTTTCTTTCTTTCCCTGCAAACACCCGATCCCTGTGCTCTCCCTACTTGTCAGTGAACTTGTGGTCAGGAACCCCAGTGAACCCGGAAAACTGCCCTCCTGGCATCACGGGCTCCCTGGATACCAGCTTCCCTAAAGTTGGAGTCGCATGCTGACGGGCAGAAACCCGGGGCGCCCACAGATCTCCAGCCTGCAACAGCACCAGCCAAAGTTCCCAGAGCTCGCCGTCCCTTCCACGAGGTTTCTGTTTGACAGACTCACTCTCGGAGCCCGCACGCGGCCGGTTACAGGCAAGGACGCCCCTCCGTCACAAAGGGGTCAGGAGAAGGCAGGAGAGCCCAGAACACACCAGGGAGGAGGGAAGGAAGAAGGAGGGAGGAAGAGGAGAAGGAGGGAGGAAGAGGAGAAAGAGGGAGGGCGGAATTCAGAGGGCTCACCAATGGTGAAGCTGTAGCCATCGATGCTAAAAGTAGCGCTCCGGCACTTCTTGAACCCTTCCTTCCTGCTGCTCCCCTCCGTCATGGCTCGGCCAGTCCGGGCTCGCCCTCTGCCCTTTCCGCGGAGCGGCGGCTGCAGCGGCCCGAGGGCTCGGGTCCCGGACAGGGCTCAGCGGCGCAGGGAAGCCGGGCCGGGGCAGCGCTGGCCAGCAGCTCTGACCTGGCGCATCGTCCGCTCCGGGAGAGGCGGTGGCAGGGGCAGCGGCAGCAGCAGCCTCAGCAGCGGCAGCGGCGCAGCGACCAGCCCAACCCCACACACCTAGAGCGCAGCCAGCAGCGCCCCCGCGGCACAACCCAGCGCAGCGCAGCGCCGCCAGCAGCACCTCCGCGGCACAACCCAGCGCAGGGCAGCGCCGCCAGCAGCGCAGCCAGCAGCGCCCCCGCGGCACAACCCAGCGCAGCGCAGCGCCGCCGGCAGCGCCCCCGCGGCACAACCCAGCGCAGCGCAGCGCCGCCGGCAG